GTGTGCTGTGTGGGGGGTAGGGTGCTGTGCTGTGTGGGGGTAGGGGTGCTGTGCTGTATGTGGGGGTAGGGGTGCTGTGCTGTGTGAGGGTAAGGGGGTTGTGCTGTGTGGGGTAGGGGTGCTGTGCTGTGCGTAAGTAGGGTGCTGTGCTGTGCTGTGCGTGGGGGTAGGGGTGCTGTGCGGGGTAGGGGTGCTGTGCTGTGTGTGGGGGTAGGGGTGCTGTGCTGTGTGTGGGGGTAGGGGTGCTGTGCTGTGTGGGGGTAGGGGTGCTGTGCTGTATGCAGGGGTAGGGGTGCATGGTAACGCGCGGCAACGCTCCGCACAGCATCGCGCGGGAGGACAGGAGAGCTGCTTCCTAGAGCCCTCCCCCTGTCCTCCCAACACGGAAGCAGAGTAGGCGCCTGCCGTTTTGGGCAGGCAGGTGCCTACTCTGCAGACAGCCAGCGGCCCCCTCTCCCAGCGACCTATGGCCGCGTGCCAACAGGGATGGCCCGGCGTGCTACAGGTTCGCCATCACTGTTCTAGGGTATTTTTGTACTTATGAAAGCTGATATATATGTTCTCTGGGAAGAGTTGCCACTTTATCCATCACCAGGGACTCAAATTGTATCACTGGCACACTGATTTGTCCTATTTTCAGAACTACCAATCTTGTGAGTGACTGTTTTTTGGTAGTAAAATAAATTAAACACAAAACCCTATTGTCCTTCAGGTGCACAATTATTTAGTAAAATAAAGGACAGTGAGAAGGTATATTTAATTAATGTGGTTTGGAATATTTAGGCATTTGAGGACAACAAGGGGGTTACAGAATGCTTAAAATAATGTTGACCTTTTCAATTAAGTGTGCAAACCAACAAAATCCAAAAAAATATTTCTTCCAACATCATTCAATACAAATCTATTGATACATACTATTATATAGAGATCGATGATATAATTTGCTTGTTTATGGAATTAATTACTCTTTTTACTCTCATAAATCTTTATGCAGTGACTGAAACTGCTATGTGTTTTAAAGACATGGTAATCATCTCTGGCCGCTTACATTGGTAAAGTGATATACGTTCGCTTTTATCTTAATGCTATCTTGATGTACATCATTGATTACACTTAAAGATCCCGGAGAACAATATGGCTTCGAGAGCACATCTTTCTAACAAAAGCTTTTAAGGGAATGAATCATTGCAAAGTGATAAAGTTATCACCTAAACCATATTGATCTCTTGGTACTTTAATTGTATAAAGAACATACATCTAGATAAAAGCTTTCCTAAAGAAATTAAGCCTTCTAAAGAGCTAATCATATCATATGAAGCATTCTACGTTTTTTGTCAGAAAATTATGTGTGATATTTGCCTATCTGTAACTCAAGGTATTTCTCTCTTATTGTAAGATACACCTATCCGACATGTATACCTCATGTTAGTGAAGTCTGTCACTTTGGAGAGATGTAAAGAAATGATTAGAATAGTAATGCCTTAATTACTCATTTTAAACAATGAACAGAGACAAGAGATACTAAAGCCAATTAACCAAAAGCAGCAAACACTAGGTGCCGAGACCCCTCTATTTCCCTACAAATTAGAACAACACAAAAGATACAGTAAAAAAGGTTGTGCCTCATAAATAATAAAAGAATTCAAATTATAGAAGGCAATCAAGGATAAAATATATAGTCCAAATGTTCTTCTGATGGCCTGAGTTTTTAATGTGCTTGGGTCCATCCTTATAAGGTGCATGAACAAAATAGGATACTGATAGTGTAGTATGTAACATTGTGAGTGCATAACAAACAACATAAAGTAGATAAGGGCCCATTTATATGTCATAGAGCTATCATACAGCTTTGGTAGTGACAGTGTATAGTACAATTCCCACTAATGGATATGGACGTAGATATGGTCTCTTCCATGAATCACAGTGAAATATGTAAAAGACAAAAATAACATTTAATAGTGTAGTATTGCCAACATTAAAGTGACTATAGTGTTAAAAAATAGGTAATGCACTCAAAGCCATAGAGCTTTTACTAAAGTTCAAATTTACAGGTACAAGGCGATACTATACCCACTTAAAGATATGGCTGGTTCACACCTTCTTCAGATCAGTTTAGTTCTGAATGAGCTGGGAACATTGCAAGTGACTCTACTAATGGCAGACAGCCGTCCAAAGGACAGTGAAAATGAATGCCCTTTTTGTCCTTTGGACATCCCCTACCATGGAAACTGATCTACCAACTTGAATTTCTGAGTTGGAGAATTATGAACACAGTTTACAGTACAAACTTGCTCCATTCAACATTTCTCAAGATTTATTTTTTTCTTATATTTTGCAGTACACAAAAATCACCATTAGCGGGGGCGGAGCTAACGCATGCAACTGAACAGTCGCCATTTCTATGAGATCCACACGGGCCCAACAAAATCTGCCTAATATCTCATTCCCAACTCGCCATCCAACCTCGAAACCACGAAAACGGGACAAAGGTTACTGAGCCGCATCGACAGATGCCCTTTCAGTACACCCCGGGGAAAAACAAGCCGAGGCGCGGATCTGGGGCCTACCGCTACCCAAAGCCTCAAGGCCTAGACTCACTCCTCGATTCCCTCATCGGAGCGCACAGTTCAAACATCCCGGAGCAGCCCTGGTCACCCCCGCTGCCCGACACCCCGACCATGAAACGCCGAACACAGAAACCCGACAGGGACATAGGGGCTATGCTCCAGAGACCCGCGGCCTCGAAGACGCCAACAGCAGAGGCCGACCACGCCACAGCGGTCCCACAATCGGGGACAGAGAACGGGGACGTGGAACTCGGGCAAACACTCCACCACGAGCCATCCCTAAGCTTACTGCAGGCTGACAGCATGGCACCGACCACCAAAGGTGACCTCAAACTACTCCTTGCAGACCTCCACAAAATGATGGCAGCCGACCTCGCACGAGTACGCACGGAAATTCATGCAAACACAGACCGCATTAAGGCCATGGAGGAAAACATCCGGGATGTGCAGACTGAGATGGCCCATCTCAAGAACCCGATACAGCAGCTCAATACCCACCACCAGGCAATGGCGCAACGGCTGACAACCCTCGAGGATCAACTAAGGAGAAACAACATTAAAATACGAGGCATACCAGCGGCAGTAAGTGCTGAAGAACTCCCGCATTATATCCGGAGGCTGTTGGCCACCTTACTCCCACCAGCGGTGGCCAAAAAAGTCACACTCGATGGCATATTCCGACTCACCAGCATGGCCAAGCTCTCCACTCCTGAGCCACGGGACGTAATCGTCCGCTGCTCCTCTGCGAAGGACAAAAGCCACATTATGGCGGCAACACGTGGTAAAACCCCACTACAGTTTGAGAACTCCTCTCTAAATTTCTTCCATGACTTAACTAGGGCAACGCTGCAGTGGCGCAGACAAATGGGCCCCATCACGACTCACCTCCGGTCCAAAGGAGTGCCATACCGCTGGGGAACGCAAGGCACCTTGCTCATACCCCGGAACGGAATGACCCACACGCTCCGCGCACTCACGGAGGCTCCTACACTCTGCGCAGCCCTCGGGATAGAAACGCCAGACCTCAACAACCCTGGAAGCACCACGAACAGAACATGGAATCCTGAGAATGTGATCCCCTTTGTGCCACGACATGGAAGCCTCTCCTCAACAGAGACTTGACAAGAGTGAAACCTCCGGCTGGAGCCCACTGACACACAGAAACGGGACTAAGCACTGGATAAACGCACTGTATATATATTTGTTGTTCCCATTAGCTAGTTTCCTTGTTTCCCCCTACCACTGAACACACCAGAGCCATCCAAATGATAGAGGCCCAATAGTCCCTGCCGGTGCAGATATGGCGATACATCCCCCCCCCGCACCCTGCGGTTACAGGGTAACACACCCGGATAACCCCGAAGCTCACAACCACTCACGCAAGCAACAGCCATCTATCACAACATACCCACCGGTAAAGCTAGGACATCACCACACAAATAGCGGCAGGTCGTACTCTCTCCCACAAACCCCCATGCACACAGCCACCACACTACGCAATGCGCACCTGGATCTACCCTCTAGGGCAACGCACCCCAAGTGGGAGATCATACCCCCTGCCGACTTGACCAGACCGTACTCACGGTACCCTACGCCCCGTAGCAGCGCCGCAATGTGGCAGAGGGCACATAAGAATGGAGGAGACAAGCTTGCTCACAAATGCACCACAAAACGTAGGTGACATAGTTGTAAATTGGCCCAGTGTTTGCCTATACTTTACTATTGTTTCTTGTTTTTATCGTTTAGACAGCTGCCTAGACAACGTTAATTATGTCTCCCATGCCCTACACCAGGTCATTGCAGCCACAACGAGAGGCCAGCTTTTGTGGTTAACCTAATACGCTACCTACTGCGCTAAAGCACCAGCCCATTGCCCACACACTGACAGAGATAGGTTAAGCAAGGGGCTAGCTGCCTAATACAGTGAGCAGGAACAGTCTTGTCTTGTTATTGATTGATGTGCTGTCACACCACTGGCTATCATCTTGTTCCCTTTGATAACCCCCATATAAAAATGTGCATCGATTTCATATGCCACCTATGCAACTGTTATACTTTGCCAACCTCAATGCATGTCATGGCTGTTGGGGCATGACATGAATGCTTGTTGAATTAACTCATGCACGAAAAAATAAAGAATTAAAAAAAAAAAAAAAATCACCATTAGCATTTATATAGTGCTAACATTTGTCACAGTGCTTTAATTATTCAATGAGCTAACTTAACAACAAGTAACTAATAGACCAAACTAAAGTTGATGAACACAAGAGGTGAAGAAAGACTTGTTCAAAAAAGTCTACACTCTAGGAGGAAGAGGTAAAGGGACATAAGAGGAAAAGCAAAGTGTTGGAGGGGAGGGCAATATATGATGTATGTGTCTAGTTAACCTTGCATAAGTGGTGTGTGAACCCTAGAGTGGAAGGTGAGCGAGTAATTATAGTTAATGTATGGGAGGGCTTGTGTAATGCGAGAAGAGTCACCCTGGAAATTGGTAGGCTTTCCTCAAGAGGTGCATTTTCAGTAACTTGAAGAGAACTGGAATCTATGGGAAAGACTAATAGACCAAGGCAGGGCATGCTATAGGAATTGTTCAGCACTCAAGAAAAAGTGTAGATGAGAATTAGCAGTATGGGAATGAGCAGAGAACAGAAGAAGGGGTTCATTTGTTAATTAAAGTTCAGATCTAACAAGTAAAATTGTTTAGGGCTTGGTGCCTTAGAGTCATGATTTGAATTGAATTCTGAAGGGTAGGGGAAGTCAATGTAATGACTTTTGAAAGGACGAGGCTCAGAGTAGATGTAGATAAGGGAAAGCCTGGAGGCAGCATTCGTTACATACACACATTAGTGGGGGAAATGTTTTTATTTGGAAATCAAATGAGGAGAGAGGTGCCATATTCAAGATTGGAAATAAAGTGCATGATTGAGTGGCTTAGTAGCATCTGTATTAGACAGGGTAAATGTGAGAAGAAGTTTTAAAGTGGACGTTACATGATTAGGTGACAGATGGAATGTAACTATCTCATCCTTCTCATATACAATTCCTCCATTTTGCTGAAACGGGCGGCTATTAAAGGGACACTTCAAGCACTGTAGTTACTAGATCTATTAGGTGGTCAAACTGGTTTTGAATGGTTTGGCTTCTTACTGCCGGGTGCTGCTTTTTGTTTCTACATTGATCTTTACTTTTCCAGTTATAATGTTTTTGAGATGGAAGTGGCAAGATTTGGAGATCGATTCGACACGAGGGGTGGAGGAGAGGTTGGAGTCAAAGAGAACGCCTAGGCAGCAAGCCTGAGAGGTAGAGCGGATGGTAGCGCCATTGACTTGGAGGGAAACAGACATGGGAGAAGCAACACTTGAGGGAGGGAAGACCAGAAGTTCTGTTTTGGACAGGTTCAGTTTAAGGCACAGACACGAGTCAAGAGGGGTGGTGAGAAATTAGAGAAGGACAGATAAATCTGCATAGATATGATACTGGAAGCTGAAGGAGCTGGCGAGTTTACCAAGAGAGGCAGTATTGATTGAGAACAATAGGAGACCAATGTTTATTTTTTTTGGATTTGTTCTGCACTCCATTTTTATTATCAGTAACAAGGACAGTCCCTTGGGGAACACCAAAAGAGAGGGATTGTGGAGAAGAGGCAGAGCCAGAGAAAGAAACACTGAATGAGCTCTGGGAGAGGTAGGTAGAGCACCAGGAGAGAGTGGAATCTCGTAGATCAAGATTACGGAGGATGAGAAGAAGCTGTTGATGATTAACAATGTCAAAAGCAGCAGAAAGGTTGAGGAGAATTAGGATAGAATAGTGGCCACGGGATTTTGCAGTGATAAGATCATTGTATACTTTGGTCATAGCTGTTTCAACAGTGTGACGAGCGTGGAATCCAGATTGAAGCGGGTCAAGCAGAGAGTTGGATTTGAGGAAGTCTGTCAATCTCACATACACAACTCTCTCAATGATCTTACAGACAAACGACAGTAGTCAGATATGGCAGTAGTTGGACGGGAATTGGGTTCAAGGGTTGGCTTTTTCAGAATCGGTGTTACGGTTGCATGTTTAAAGGGTAAAGGAAATGTGCCAGAGAAGAGGGAGAGATTGAAAATTTTAGTGAGAGGCAGAGCAAGTGAAGGAGACAAAGTGCGAACGAGATACGAGGGAATAAGATCAAGGGAACAGGTGGTGGTGTGGGAGGAACAGAGCACAGCCCTCTTCTGCTGTAGCGGGTGCAAATGAGCATAGGACAACTCAGGGAGTGTGGTTAGGGGAAAAGTTGGTAGTGGATAGGGGGAGATCTCTTCCCTGATTGTAGAAATCTTCTCAGTTAAGTGAGTTGCAAAGTTTGTGGCGGTCAAGTTGATAGGAGGGGACACAATAGAGTGAAGAAGAGAGTTAAAAGCATGAAACAGTCGTTTGGGCTTATGGAAGAGTGTGGTTATGAGCGTACTGAAGTTGTTTTCTTTTGAAGAGGAAAGAGCCAGACTGTAGGAGCACAGCATACATTTATAGTGGAGTATATCAGACACAGAGTAAGACTTTCTCCAGCAGCGTTCAAGAACATTTTTGGAGGTATCGGGTCAGCTTGATGTGCCAGGGTTGTAATTGGGGGTGCTTAGTGCTTTTAAGTGTAGTAGGTACCATGATGTCTAGTTGAGTGGAGAGAGTGGAGTTGGAGGTTGCAGTGTTAGGGCAGGTGAGATTTGAGATGGGTGAAAGGAGACTTTGGAGGTTGGTGGAGAATCGCTGTAGGTCAAGACAATGGAAGTTTCTGTAAGACTGATATGGTGAGGATTGGGTATGGGGTATGCGGATGTCAATGGACAGCAGATGGTGGTCAGATAGAGGAAATGGAAGATTGGAGAGATTAGAGACGGTACAGAGATTGGTGACAATAAGGTCAACAGTGAATTAGACCACTGTGTGAGTCCAGCGGAGGAGGTTATAGAGAGCAGTCGAGAAGCATTAGGGCAGTTGGGGTTGTTGATTGGGATATTAAAGTCTCCAAGAATGAGGAATGGAAATGGGAGAGGAAGAAAAGTGCTTAATGGGGTCGGAGGGGGTTTAAACAGACAGTGTGATCTTTAAAGGAAGTAAAGGATAGGGCAGGGAGGATAGGTTTCAATGTACATTGAGGGGAGAGAAGGACCTTTACAGTTGTTTGGTCTGGGAGTGTGGGAGAATTGAAGCCCTCCATAAGGAAGCAGGAGTCCATCTTTCTCAATCTTTATTATTATTATTTCCTAATTCTAGCAGTGTGTGGTTCATACCAACTTGTACCCACTGAACAACTCTATTAAAACTAAATCCTACTCACTATCACTGCCTGGTGCTGGCAACCAGCGGCACTCCGCCTGTGGACTGCATCTCCCATGATGCTCTCACAGCCATAATACCGGCAAAGCATCACGGGAGACGTAGTCCATAACCTCCAGTCTGCCGTAGGTTGCCTACCCGTGGCCTGGTGCCGTACTCGGGTTATTTGGTGATTGTTCCTCTCTCTCTCTCTCTCTCTCTCTGCCCGCATTACTGAGCACTCCTCAGCTGATCGCACCCCGTGACCGCCGGGACTGGGCGTGTCCTGTGTGACGTGTCTCTGGGTGGGTGTGGCCGTCAGACCGAGGCTGGGTCATGTGATCGCTCCTCACAGCCAAGGCGGCCGTGGTGGTTGTTGGTGTGTGGAGATAACCTGACGGAGCGCCATGGAGTTCTTGCTGGGAAATCCGTTCGGAACCCCGGTCGGGCAGCGGATCGGTGAGTGAGCCGCCCGGCGCCGTGCACAGCCGGTGACAGGCTGGAATGTACCCTACTTTGCGACCACTCACCCCCGACCCATTTGTAGCCAATTAGAAGTTGGCTAGTTTTACTAAGTTAGCCTATCAGCGCTTGAGGGTATCTCTCGCTGACCAATCGTATGAGAGTTGTTTGTAATTATCCAATCAGAATGCGTTTCGTTGTAGACGTCACCCCTGGCCAATAGGCGTGTAGTATGCGTTCTACTGGGCAGTGCCAAGGCTTCTGATTGGCTGCTATAAAGTCAGTTTGTGAAAGTAGACAATTAACTCATTCTTTGATGTCTGTATAAAAATAAGCCTGCCGCATGGCCTTCTGGGTATTGGGGAGCTGTCACCTTAGGGCATGTATGGCTGTGACCCATGAAGCTCAGCCAGCTCACTCACACTCATTTTGGAGTCTAGAGAAGAAAGCCCAACAGATGCTGCAGAACTGCAACTCCCATTCTGATCTGGCAAAGCATCATGGGATTTGTAGTTCTACATCATTTGAGGCCACTTCTTTGCTCTCCTCTGCTTCACAGCAATGATGGGAAACCTTTGGCTTTCCAAATAGTGTGAGTTTCCTTTAATGCTCAGCTGCCACAGACTGACTGACTGACATGGGTCTAGGGCAGTGATGGCAAACTTGTGACACAGCACTTAGAGACACAAGGGAAAGGTGGCAAACTGAGAGAAGGCAGAAATGAAATGCAGAGAATGGGCAGCGAAGCAATACAATAGGTGTCAGGACACTATACCGTTAGGAATGCATCTTTGCCTAAACTTTATCATGTTCCTGTAAGTTGAGAGAGTGTAGTATGTAAGTTTGAGGAATGAGTTACCGTGGGAGGCCATTGGCTATTCTGAATGGACTTTGATGGTGGATGGCAGTCTGCACATTCATTAAATGTATTTAGCCATTAATAATTTATATCTTTAAAAAAAAAAAAGTTTTTTATTGATTGATTGTGTAGGGACTTGTTTATTTCTATATTACATTTTGGAATGCTGGATTGAGTGATCAAATTAGGGAATTATCTACTAAACACATGAGATAAAAATTAAGAAGAGCGGGAGAATATGTAATTTGATTAGTCTGAATCAGAAAGCAAACTAAATTTACTGGACAAAATTTTGATGAATCGAATCTCCCAATGGCCAAAATTCAGTTAGTCTGAACAGAAACTAATTTTCGGCCGAATCAATTTGGACAACCATTTTTTTTTTTGTTGCTGTGTACATGTCTTGTTATTCTAGTCTAATGGTATATAAGCCTTGTTATTTGTGGAGGCTACTTAAAATGTACCTAACTTCATGTATCACTCCTTTGCACCATGCATTATTCAAGAGTTCTTAAACCACTTCTGATTTTCGCACATTGCATCTGAGGAAGGAAAAAGGGGTAACTACAAAACCAAATGCCAGAATGGTACCAATATTTGGTGCCTCAGTTTTATCACCATACAGTTTATCCAAATCTGCCATAAGTCGGCCATTGCTTGTCTTGCGGGTGAATTCCCAAAAGCTGGTCTAACCGAATATCATTGTTGGAGTAATTATTAAAAGTATGGTGGAATCATGCGTAGAGGAGAATACACACTCTTCCTTCTTTGACATCTTCATATGTCATGTCACCATGATGTTGCACAATCTCTTTATAATTTTGGCTGTTTAAAGACCCTTTGTCTGCAGACAAGGTCTGATATACATCTCAAAATTCTGGCCCCCCTTTCCAAAAATAAATCTGGACCTCTGTTGCTTGTTCAACTTTTGGGTTAATGATTTATTATAGCCAAATTTTGTGCAGGGCTTGAGTGCAACTTAAGCAGTCAGAAAGCAAACATTGTTCTTTAGATAAAGCATCTGGGTAGATATCTTATCTTTCTTTCCTATCTGTAGTAGCACGTGTTTATTTTTTGGATTTGTTCTGCACTCCATTGTTATCAGTTGTTATAATGGGGGCCCTGTAATAGCCTTCCTTGTATCCTGCATCATATTCTACTGTCCAACTAGTTTCTCTTCTTGAAATATATAGTCCTGTATGTTTAATCCAAACACTAAAGTGTTCCTCTGCCCTCCCCCCTCCACAGCACTAAAAGGGTTAAGTAACCCTTTCTTTCATTCACCTTATTGCAGCACTGAAGTCCTCAGTGCTGGCTCTGTCTCCTACTCCTCTAACGTCAGCGATAAGGGTGAACCTAATGCTCATGCACTGCTGCGTGCATTAGGCCTTTCCCATAGGAAAATATTGAATCACTTTCCTGTGGGGATTTTGAGGAAACAAAGCGCGACTACATCCAGCGTCGTTTCACAGAGTCAAACGCTATAAAACCGCAGGAAGCACCTATAGGCTGCGTGGTAGACGGCCACTAGAGGAAATCTTAAATGGACTCTATACTGCCATGAAAAAAAAGTAATTTTCCTGGCATTATAAAATCCTACAGTGCCCCCCTCCAGTCACTTACCTGAATCCAGCGCCGACGTCCCTTGATGCTGGTTCAGGCTCTGCCCACACTTCGCCGGTGGGGGAGACCTAATGTGCATGTGCGCTAATGGCCGCACTTGCATTAGGATTTTCCCATAGGAAAGCATTATTCAGTGCTTTCCTATGGGGGAAAAATCTGATGCTGAAGGTCAGGTGACTGACCAAAAACAGACCGTTTCAAACCAGTCAGGTAGACAGTCACTAGAGGTGGAGTTAACCCTGGATAGTAATTATTGCAGTTTCTCCATAGCTGGAATAATTACTATTGCAGGTTTAAGGGACATGGGACATTGCACCCGGACCACTTCAATGAGCTAAAGTGTCGTGGGTGCCTACAGTGTCGCTTTAACCCTGGAATATAAAGCTTGCAGTTTTTCTGAAACTGCATTGATTTACATTGCAGGGCTAACGTGACAAAGACACTGCACCCAGACCACTTCTAATGAAAAGTTGCCTTCCAGAATTTATTTCCCTTTCTTTTCCCATATAATAGCTTTTTTTGCTGGACTTTGTTTTGCTTAATTTTTTTGCTAGACAGACAGGATTAATTCTTATTTCAACTGTAAACATGAATCCTGGTTTCAGAACAAAATAAATATATATGTATTGCAAGATAGGTGAAAATTGCTAAAGTCACTGTAGAAAGATTATTAATGATTCAGTACACCAATTCACCACCAGATTTCTCCTCTGTGTGCACCTATTATTTTCGAGGTGTTAGGCATCATCTGATTTCTTAATGATTATGTAGAGTTCCAAACATTACTTGAGAGAGCTGTATGGAAACCTTTCTACTCTGTTTTAAAAAGACATTTCAAGCATCACAAACAACCACTTCAGTTTGTGGCTACGGTGTTGAGACTATAGATTTAGTCACTTTTTTTGTTTAAAAAAAACAAAAAACAGAGGACTCCCCAGTGTAAGTCTCCTGTTATATAGACTTCATGTTTATTTGGAGAACCCGAAACCGTAAACTCTGATCTGGCGAAGGCAAATCCCTTCTATACCCCACTGGCTCTCACTGCACATATTTGGATGGATAATGAAGGGGTTGACTTAAAGAGACACTTCAATCACCATAAGTACTGTGGCCCGCTGTATTGGCTATGGCGACAGGAATTGCTTGTGCCCCCCAAGAGTAACTTATCAAATTGTTTTTAGAATGGCTCACCTGGATCCTGCCAGGTGCCCACAGCTCCAGCCTTGCTAATTCCACCGTACTGTTCGCCGCGGACTCATCATTGAGTAAACTTTGACCCTGTACCTCACAGTCAGCAGACACATTCCAGCCAATCAGCAGCAGACCCTCCCTCTCAGACCCTCCCACCTCCTGGACAGCGTCCATTTTGAAGCTGCATTCTTAGTGAGCTGTCCAGGAGGAGGGAGGGTCTGCTGCTGATTTGCTGGAATGTGTCTGCTGACTGTGAGGTACAGGGTCAAAGTTTACTCAATGATCAGTCCGCGGCGAACCGTTCGGGACATCACTACCCACTATCCCTTGTATGGTGTGAGGCAGAGCATATCTTCGCCATTTCATCATTGATTAC